TTGTGATTAAGTAATTATTTTTTGTAATTCTTTATGACTTAAAAAATTTTAACACAAATAAGAAATATAATATATTTGGAAAAATACTTAGTTGTAAGTTGAATCAAAATAGATATTATAAGATAAGAGTGCTTAGATAATTCTTCGAAGCAGACTTTGCAAAAAAATTTACAATTTCAATAAAAAAATTTTTATTAAGATATCACATCTACAAATATACACTCAGATAGGTTTCCTGAATGTTTCTCATAAACTACTTGTGATTTGAATGTCAAATAATTTAAGTTGTTAAGGTTAAAATAATTGTTTATAATTATCTATTTGTACTAGTAATTCAAACTGTAGTTCATTTAAGAAAAAATTCAATTTTTGTAGCAAATTAAGCTAGTTGATACTTGTATACCTTAATATGAGTTTAGTAACCTTTCAGGAACATAATTCATTTGCTTACGTTATCCAGGTTATTGTTCTAATTCATCAACAGCTACTGATACAACTCCTCGTGTATAAAGAAAGTTTTCAGATAATACTGAAGAATCTGATAATGCTACATGCGCTTCTTTCTTACCTGGATGTATTAGTATTGGAAAAGATTGTTTTGATTTCACGATTCCATCCACATTAATGAAAGAAACTCAGGAAACATGTGATAAGATATTTGCTTGTACAACTGAATCTATTGATAACTTTACAACTAATTAATATTACAACAGTTCAACAGCCCCCGAAAATGATTATTGTAGCATCAAAATCTGCAAATTACCAGAAAAAGAAAATGATGGTACATTTGGTTTTTTTTAGAGGGATGTGCCTATAATGGAAATTGGGGATCTTTTGATCCAAAAGCTAATGAAATAACTTGTGCAAGTTGTACAGGTTTTGCTGTATTTTGTTAATCTGCTATTGTTAGTAGTAATATTATCAAATTGTGTTTTGGAACAATTACATCAGCTACATGCACAATTAGAGCTTGTACAGATAATATGGCTGCAACAAAAGATGAAGATTCTGAGTCTTTCATGCCATATTGTTTAGCTAAATTTGATGGAGGTTGTACTAATAAATATTCAAGAATCCTATTCTTAATAAAATGGAACAGTTTTTTATTTTCCTAATTTCAATGGTAGTTTATTAGTCTCTTCTGTTTGGACCAAAGTTTCATGTATAAAATATGATGCTTGCTAAGATAGATTATGCTCTGATAATAATCCACTTGCAATTTTTAAATAGTAACAGATTGAGCATGTCTAACTTTATCAACAGCTAGTAGTGATAAAAAATTGATTCTACACTTAAAATGCAAGATATAAAAAAATTCCAATTTAGAGAAAGTCTATCGATTATTATCAAATGAAAATCTTTAACATGAAACAATGAAATAAAAGAAAGGCTCAGTAAATTAGATGTCTTGGAATTTAAAGAACTTAATTATACTGTCTCAATTATATAAAATAAATTCATTTATAGGATGAATGTCTGATTTGAAAGCCTACTGAAAGCTTACAAAAATATTCAACATCTTCTTAAAGAGAAAAAAATCAAAATAATTGAGAAAACTTTATCGCAGGACAGATTGCCAAGATTATTCTAAGCTTTTCTTCAATAAAAAAGCATGATTCATAGATGATGACTAAATTAATTATTAAAAGTACTTCTTATCTAGAATTAACATATTTATCTTAATTATTATCATACAATTACTTTTTTTGGATTCCCAAAAAATAAGATATAAAATTTTATAGCAAAAGGAATTTTATGTAAAATTCCTTAAATTATTGAAATAAATATGAGAAAACTATTTGTCATTAATTTATGTTAACTACAATTAAATAATAAGAACCATGTTGGGGATTGATTTTGATTAGAGATTTAAACAGGATAGGAACACCATTAGAAGAATATGGAAAATGCGTTTATAAGGAGGTTAGTGCTTGTGATTTATTTCTGGTTGCTCAGATATAGTTTCAGCTTCTAGTTAACATGAATGTAAAACTTTTATCTCGGGATGATCATATTTCAGTGGTAAATATTATGCTAAGGTTTCTACTAGTAATTGTCCCTCAATATTTTCAACTTAAATCACAACTGATACTTTTAAATCTCTTTATTGTAGAGGAATCAAAGAAGACAGTTAATTTTGTAGATGAAAATTTGATAAAATAAATGTGAACTTGCAACTAATCAAGATTGTACTGGAATATTAATTCCTATATCATGCAGTTGGGATTCTTTTAGTCATTCAACTTCAAGTTCATTCAAACCAGCATATTTTCTAGCTGAATCACATAAAGACAGAACGAAAATTTGTAAATATACTTCTGGAAAAATTTTTAGCAATGCAACATGCATAGATATTCCATCGAAGCACCTCTTGATTGTTATGATAATGATAAAATAACATGTTAATTCTATAAAAATCTTGATAAAACTAAAATTTGTGAATTTGATTATTATAATTCAATACCTCAAAAATAATGTGTTGATTGTAATTGTAATTCCTATGAAATTTGCCAAACACTAATGATATTGATAATTCAAACTATTGTTTAAGTAAAATTAGTGATATTGGTTAAATAAGCAAATGGATATTTATGTGTTTGTCAATTAAGAACATGCTATAATTGGTAAAAAGGTTGTAATAAAATCCCTGCTTAAATTGGAAATGAGAAGGCTTATTGTTATGAAGTCAAGACTAAAAGTTAATGTACTAACATTTCAGGAACAACATGCGCTAAACTAAAGAGTGTCTCTTTATAGTGTAGACAAAATTCCGCATCTCATTGTGCAAAAATGAAATAGGGAAAAAATTAATGTACATATGTAAATAGTTATACTTATGTCAAAGTAAATACATATGAAAGTCATGATGGATCAAATTCATCTGAATTGGGACCTGTTGATAGAGAATGTAAAATCTTTATGATTTAAAGATACTCTAATTCTAAACTCGAAAATATTTTGATTCCTAATTAGTAAATATACTTAATATTTCCTTATAATTTTAAATATAATTTGTATAAATTCTTCCTCATAATCTATTATAATTTATAATTTCTATTTTTAAAGATTTATGTTTTATTCTTATATTTTAACTTCTAAAGAATTATTGATTACTAATAAATTTATGAAATATCTTTAAGTATCCAAAGTATTTTGGTTTTCTAATTTAATACATCTAAAGTTATGTTGTTCTATTATTTATAAAGTTAATGCTCTTTTTGTTTCAAGCTTTTCATTAATATGATTATTGATATTTATCAACTATAAGATTTTCAGTACTAATTGATAAAAAATAAAAGTACATAATAAAAGTACATCTTTACTTATAATTTTCTCATTCATCAAATAAGATTTATTATTATATGCCATTTAATAAGTATAATTAAAATAGTATTTGAAAGGCGAAAGTTTCTAGGTAGTAACAATCAATTAGAGGAAATAATAAAATTCATTAATAAACTCAAAGTTAATATTTTAATGGCAATGCAATTGTTTCAAATTGAGACCTTTTTTTTAAGAAAAAAATAATTCTATGGATTTCAAAAATTAACTTAATCTAATCAGGTTAAAATTCATTCAAAAAACTAAAAAAATTTTATCACTATTAAAAAAAAAGTGCATGGAATCATAATAAAAAAAATCAAATCATAAAGATAACATCTTGTTTAAAATGATCCTGCTTTTTTACCAAAAAATACATTAGTAGATTTGAATTTATATTTATATTGATTTTTACTTTACTTTAATTTAGAAAATTTGATAAGAACTTTCAAAGTTATGTAAACATTTAATAGTATAGATTTTAATTGTCTTTTTCAATAAAGCCAACATTATAGAAGAAAATTAATTTTCTAGAAGGATTTGATTATAAAACTAAATATCATATAATTATAAATTAATTAATTAAAATAATGAATATGAGTAAGATTTTTACAAAAATGATAGAATAAGAATAATAATTGGCTTGTGCATATGGGCATAATCAACGAATTATCACTGTTGCGCTAGATTCAGATATACCTCAATCTTAAAGACTCTATTGTGAGTAATGTTTAGATACAGCAGAAGGATATTCTAAACTGCTATCATATAAAAAAGTAGTAAGCCTGATTTAAGAAGAATTAAAAAAGAAAGCAGAATATGTTGAAAAGCTAATTTATTTCAATTACTCAAAAATTGAATAGTTAATTGATACTATTTCAAGTTTAAAATCAAGCTTGATTCAATTATTAAATCAACTTGAAGGTACTCTGAATAAATGGATGATGGATTTAAGATAGGAGGAATAGTAATTAATTACTTATAGTTTTTATGAGGAATTGGATTCTTTCATACAAAATTAAAATGAAGTAGATCTCAAATATATTAAATATAATTCTTAGTTTGATAAAATTAATTATAATTGGTATTAAAAAGTTTATCCAATAATCGAAAGATTTAAAAGCTTTGGAGAATTTGATAAATGTTAAAATATACTTTCTAATTTAGTTAAAGATTAATTATATAGTAATATAATTGTAATAAATGAGTAATCTTAAATATAATAAGCAGAGTAACAATAATAATCACAATAAGAATAACAATAATAATAATAACCTTAGTAATAATAATAACTTTAATAATAATAATCTTAGTAATACTAATAATAAGAAATAAATA